GGAAACGTCGGTTTTAAGGGAAAATGGAAATCTGCTGCGGCCGATTAAGGACACTATCCCCCACAATTTTCTTTAGTAATGAAAATACACTTTTCCCCCCAAAACGAAAAAAATAAAATCCCCCAAAATCTCTAACAATTATGATTTATTCCCAAAAAAATTTGAAAATTTTTACTTACCTCCTCTCCTCGGAAGCCGAAACTCGCTATAAATACCTCCCTGCATGCCTGCCACGTCCTGACGCTCTCACCGACCATGTCCTTTCGTGTCAGCGACGTCACGCCTTCTTCAATGCAAGCCCGTTTTAAAAGTTGCCCATTCAACCAAATTTGTAATTATTTCCCCCCTAAAAATCAAAATGAAAGCTAATTAGAATTCAAAATTCAAAATGGCAGAAAAACAATTAAAAGTCTAAATTTCTAAATTCGAAGCTAGGGAACAATAAATCAATTAATCATTAAATCCTGCTCCCTTTATTCCGTTGTTGGTTTCTCAGTCTGTGGCGAAGTGGTGAGCTCCAGCATCTCTCACCATGCTTCCTCCATAAAAATGCTTCAGCCTTTGCCCGTTCACTGTGAATTCTCTTCCCGAATCCATCTCTTGTACTTTAACTGCTCCATGGGGAAAGACGTGCGAGACCAAAAATGGGCCTGACCATCTTCATTTGAGTTTCCCTGGGAAAATTTTGAGTCTCGAATTAAAAAGCAACACTTGTTGCCCTTCCTCAAATCTTCTAGGATTGATTTTCGCATCGTGCCATCGCTTCGTCTTTTCCTTGTGTAACTTCACATTTTCATACGCGTCTCTATAGAATTCTTCAAGCTCTAGCAGTTGTAAGCGGCGAACATCGCCAGCAGCAGAATAATCCAAGTTTAATTTTTTCATAGCCCAAAAGGCCTTATGCTCTAGTTCCAATGGGAGATGGCAAGGTTTCCCAAAAACTAACTTGTAAGGAGATGTTCCAAGAGGTGTCTTAAATGCTGTACGATAAGCCCATAAAGCGTCATCCAACTTCATCGCCCAATCTCTTAGATTTGTGCCAACCACTTTTTCCAATATGCTTTTGATCTCTCGATTGGATATCTCAGCTTGCCCATTTGACTAGAGGTGGTAAGCTGTGGATACTTTTTGCCTGATGTTATACTTAGCTAAGAGAGATGTTATAGCTTTGTTGATGAAGTGGGAGCCTTCGTCACTGATGACAGCTCTGGGTGTACCAAATCGCATGAATATTTGCTTGTGGAGAAACTTTGCTACTACTTTGGCATCACTGTTGGCACATGCCACTACGTCGACCCACTTTGACACACAATCGACAGCCAATAATATGAAGATGTTTCCATTAGATGGAGGGAACAGACACATGAAGTCCATACCCCATTCATCAAAAAGCCCCACCTCTAAGATGTATGTGACAGGCATTTCTAATATCTTGGAAATATTTCCAACCCTTGCAATGGTGGACTTAGCTCATATGCATCCTTGAAAATGGTGGGCCAGAAGTATCCGCTTTGGAAAACTTTTGCTSCTGTGCGCTGCCCTCCAAAGTGTCCACCGTATGGTGCCAAATGACATTTATCCAGCACTTGTCGTGCTTTAGCCTTGGCGATGCATCTTCTGATCACTTTATCTTGGCCAATCCTATAAAGATATGGGTCATCCCATAAATAAAACTTACTCTCATACAAAAACCTTTTCAGCTGTTGCTTGTTCATGTTTGCTGGCAKAATTCCACTAGCAATATAGTTGGCTAGATCTGCAAATCATGGTTCCTCATCTTTATTCCGAACTTCAATAGCCAACAATTGCTCATCTGGGAAGGTTCCTCTAATTTCAATCTTATTCTCGGGGCATTCCAGAGTAGGCAGCCTGGACAAGTGGTCAGTAACCAAATTTTCTGTCCGTTTCTTGTCCTTGATCTCTATATCGAATTCTTGCAGTAATAAAATCCAATGAAGCAGTCTTGGTTTAGCATCCTTCTTTGTCAGTAAATATTTCAGAGCTGCATGGTCCGTGTAAACAATCACCTTTGACCCGACTAGATATGATCTGAATTTTATAAAGGCAAACACCACTGCTAATAGTTCTTTCTCCGTGGTGGTGTAGTTAATATGTGCCTCGATCAAAGTTTTGCTGGCATAGTAAATCGGGTGTAGCAGCTTCCCTCTGCATTGAGCAAGAACTGCTCCTATAGCATAGTCGCTGGCACTGCACATTAATTCGAAAGGTTTAGAGATTTTCGAAAAGTCTTTTATGAATCTGCGATAGAAACCGGCATGTTCCAAGAAACTGCTGATGCCTTTGACATTCACAGGTGGGGGCAATTTTTCTATTGCTTCAATCTTTGCATTGTCCAGTTCTATGCCCTTTTTGGAGACTCCATGCCCTAGCACAATTCCTTCTTGCACCATGAAGTGACACTTCTCCCAATTCAGGACTAAGTTTGTTTCTTCACATCTTTGCAACACTCTCTTCAAATTATCCAAACATTCTGCAAATGATTTTCCAAAGATTGAAAAATCATCCATAAACACCTCAACTACTGATTCAACAAGGTCAGAAAA